AGGTAAATCCCTTCATAAAATGGTGAAAGGATTCTGCTTCATTAAAACCCAGGGGTGTTGTAGCCTGCATTCTATATATCCATTTCTGTTCTAACTGGAGGAGATTTTTGTTCCAATCCCTACCTCGATCAGGGATGTGATTGCGGTCCAAGGCAAGAAATTTCACAAAAGGAAACTCTGTAATCATGGGCTAATACTGCATGTCTTCCAATTATTATTGATTGCCTATTTGCATGCTATAGACATGTTTGTAAATGCGACGCCAAAATTATTGCTTGGTTTTACCAATGTAGAATGCACCACATTCACAAGACATGAGGTAGACAACTCCTCTAGTCCGACAACTGGTAAAATGTTTAAAAGGTATGGCAGGAGCCATTAGGTAACAAAATAACCTTCGTCTTATCAATTAAAGGGCAGTATGGACAGTTCCCACAAGGATATGTTCCAGAGTCCAGACAATGTTTTATCTCTAAGTTTCTCCTTATACTCACTATGGACAAGTTTGTCCCCCATTGAGCTAGCCTTTCTAAAGGTGACAGATGGGCAGTACTAACAAATTGTTTTACCAAGTAATCATCTGTTAAAATTGACCAATGACGTTGTAAAATTTGATTTGTGCATGTTGATTAGAATATTTCAACACTATCCGAGTGGGTTCGGCCACCATGCTGACCTTCTTCTTTTGATAGAGAAGGTTCAAACGTGATTGTCGACAAGTGCGGTTATATGCTTTGCGTAGACAGGTTTTGCCATAGCCTCTATCGAGCAATCGCTCTCTTAGGTTATTAGATGACTCTTGGAAACAAGATTCAGTTGAACAATTGTGCTTAAGCCTCAGATACTGACTACATGGTATAGAGTTCGTGAGTGATTGGGGGTGAAAGCTGGATGCATGTAATATGGTATTTCCTTCTGTATCTTTCCTGTATAGACCACTTGATAAATGGCCATCACTGTCCTTGTATACAAGAACATCCAAAAAGGTCACCATTTCCCTATTATAGGACATAGTGAATTTAAAATTATAGTAATTGACATTCATTTTGTCAAAAACATTCCAAAAGCATTTGCTCTGACCCCTCCCAGATGAGAAAAACATTGTCAATGTACCTGTGTCACATGGATATGTGGCCAAAGTACATTGCAAGGTTCTCATCTGAAAGGAATCACTGCTCCCACTCCCCCAAGTACAGATTGGCGTAGGATGGGGCACAACAAGTCCCCATGGCTATGCCCTGTACCTAGAGGAAGTGGGAGCCATTGAACGACAAATAATTATGATGGAGGATATAATCTAGCCCTGCCAATAGAAAATCATTCATAGGCCAGTCTTGAATGGGTTGTTGGGAAAGAGTGCGTCTTATGGCTGCTAAACCCCTATCATGGGGAATGGAGCTGTATAAGGCTTCGATATCAATGGTAACTAACAAGGCTTCTTTGGGAACAGTAGAGTCCTCGATAATATGTAAAACGTGGATGGGTATGGGATCCTTAACAGATGAGGTTAATGATGATACATGAGGTTGTAGGTATGAGTCTACATATGAGGTAAACTGTAGAATGTAAGAGTTCTAGGAAATTTCACTCTAATGTATTCCCATAATTGCTTCTGGATGATACCTTTGTCAGGGCAGGGCTGTGGAACGGACAGGTAGGCCTAGTGGCAGGGTAACGCACTGGCTGACGACAACCACCACCAACAGACTGAAGTCCCTCAGGGCGCGGAGTCTAAGTCCCAGGCTGCCCTTCACCAGGGCCCCTGATGGTGGGGATGGACTTGACGCAACCAGGGACCAGGTCGCGGCCCCCGAGACACCCCAGCTGCGGTAATGGCCGCCGCCAATGGCGTGTAGCTGGTGAGAATGACAATAGCGTAGTCAGACAAGCCGGGTCAATAACAACGGGACAAAACAGTACAGAACAGTAGACAGAGAATCACAAGTCACGGGCCGGGTTCAGCAACGGAAGGTCAGATCAAAGGGAAACACAGAGAATGGTCTTAGTCACAAGCTGAGTCAGAATACCAGAAGAGTCACGAGCGTATACACAGAGCTGTACCAAGACACAAGACACAAGTGCAAAGAGCATGTGCAGATCCCAGACTTATATGTACTCAGCCACACCCCTCTGGGGGATGGACCTCAGAGACCTGAAGGCATAAAAGATTCCCATCATGCTCAGCAGAAATCCAAGATGGATGCTAGTACATGGAGTAACATAACCTCTGGGAAAAGGTAGGACCTTGACAACCTTGCTCTAAAGCACTGTCAATTAGTTTATAGAACTCTGAAGCAAAGCTTGCAATCAAGTTGAGGGGATGGAGCGATACCAATTGTTGTTGGACAGAATTTTGTAACATATCTCCTTATATTGTATGTTGTCCTCAATGACTACTACCACCTTTATCACATGGTTTAATTGTAATGTTATTTTTCTGTAGGGCGCATAGCGCTTCTTGTTCCATAGATGACGAATTGTCACTGTAAATCTGATTGTAGGAGAGTTTCTTGATGTCTTTTAATGTTTGTTTAAGAAATATAGCAATGATAAGATAATTGCTCAAAGCTGGAAACTTATCGACGGCTTTTTGAATTGAGTCAAGGAATCGAACGGTGATTGTTCTGATTCCCACAATAGTGAGTCCAGATCGAGTTTATCAATAAGATCGCTGAGTTGGCTTTCCTCCAGCAGGAGTGTCAAATCTCTGAGGGCTTTGAAATCTCTGCTGGAGTATTGAGACCAATCAAAGGATTCAGTGGCATTGTCAGATATTGCATAAGCACATCTTAGGGAAAGTTTTCTGGCAAAAAGCTGTAAATCCTTAACTAATTCGAACTCATCTGTATTTTGATGTGGACAGAAGCTTAGTCCGCGAGAGAGATTTTCTTTGAATTGGGTCAAGGCATATGAGGACAAATTGACACTATTCAATGTAGAGATCAAGTTCTGGTCAGGTAATGTTCTATCCCCCAGCTCGATCTCCCCCTTCAGAGGCCTCTCCCCCGAGTGTGGCCTAAAAAAGCAGTAGAATGTGACTGGTGCATGCCAAAAGGAGGAAATCTATGCTGACAGAGAAGATTCAGACACCTGTTATTTCACCCTCTACAAGAGAGGGTCGTGTGATAGGACTTTGTGACTCACTTAATGTGTTCCCCTGTGAGGATATGGGGTGAGTATCCAGTGAACATTTTTTGATTTCTTTTTCAAAAGAACCTTTCCTATTATGGTTTCTTTTAAGACGACCTCGTCCCCTGTTCGGAATATCATACATTCAAAGAGAGGAGAAGGAGTCAGAGTCCAATCGTGTATTATTAAAATGTGATACTTCTAAGGTGTCCTGTGTAGTGTGGTGATAACGCCTCCTCTGGGGGTTAGTGTATTGAGGGGTAGTCCACCTGCCTCGCCAACATTTATGCTCTTTTTTTGTTAATATGTGTTTGTTCAAATCTGCTATGCCTTTCCTAAGTTTCCTCTCCAAATCAGAATACAATGAATTTGTTTTGAATGCAGATAACAATCTCCCTGCATCTTCAATATCCTTATCCAATGATAACATCTGTTTATTATATTCCGTAGTCAATATGGACATAATTTTTTTGTGAGCATGATTGTAGGTTTCCTCCCATTCCCTCTTGAATTCCTCAAGTGGACTTGATTTTCTCTCAGGTATACTTATCAAATGTTTTAATATGCCAAAAAAGTGCCAATTTATTTTCCAAGAGATTTCCCAACCTCAAAAACAGTGAATACATTTCTGTTTCAGTTTGTTCCTTCTGGGAAAAGTCCACCTGATAGGTAGACATCAAATTTACCCAGTCTTGGCCCTGGAACTCACTCATATTGATGGATCCACAATCCTATTCCAACAAATGTAACACTTCAAAGACAGAGGATGTGCACTGTGCAAAAGGAAAAAAAAACAAAAAACATGTAAATAATGTTATCTTAGAATATAAGAAGATACTCTATAGGGGGGTAGAAGGGGTGGATAACAACCAGAGATCATAACCAGAAAGGTTACGTATTTGACTGCTCGTCCCTATATGAATGCATGTACCCAAAGAACCCCCAGTGGGACTTTTATGCAGCAATAGGATCATACATGTATTGAAGGAGACATTTTGTTTAACGAGGTTTTTGTCAGCTTTATTACATACACATTTCCATTATAGTATTAAATACACACAGAAAAGAGAGAAAATACTCCAACGCGTTTTTCGATCATTCCCTCTAGGATGATGCACCCTGCCAGAACATGGTGTCCAGCCTTCCATCTTGGAAGTCAACCTCTTTTTTGCTCTGACATGCTTTTGTAAGTAAAAATGTTTTGGATATGTGATTTATAATTTTTTTTTCATTATTTGTTTATTTTTTTTTTATACTCATTTATGATTGCTTATATATTCACTAAAAAGTCCTTTGTCTCTCATGCACCCTTAGGAAGATCTAAAATGTGAAATGTTCGAAACGCGTCAAGGTATTTTCTCTCTTTTCTGTGTGGTTTGATATTCTTGTATTAAGAGTTCTTTTGTAAGAACACTGTCAGAGCAACATTCTTTTTAGAAACCATCGAAATGCTTGGGATATTTTTTTCTCTTTTCTGTGTGTATGTAATAAAGCTGACAAAAAATCTCTTTTAACAAAATGTCTCCTTCAATATATGTATGATCCTATTGATGCATTAAAGTCCCACTGGGGGTTCTTTGGGTACATTAACCTACTAGTGAGGTCAACAATGGCAGGCTCCATGCTACTCTGATGGTTTTTTTTATAAATGATATACGCCACTTAACTGATATTTAACCGCCTCCCGCCCGCCATATAGTAGAATGATGGACGCAAGGCGGTTCTCTCGTTCTGGGAGGACGTCATATGATATCCTCCTATTCTAACCGCGCATGCGCAGCTCCGTGACTGCACAGCGCGGCGATTGGCGGTGCGCTGTATCCCTTGAACACAGCAGATTAAAGGAAAGAGCCGAAGATGTCGGCTCGGTCATGTGATCAGCTGTGTCCAATCACAGCTGATCACGTAAACAGGGATATGCCAGTTATCTGCATTTCTCTCCTCACGAGCTGTCAGAGGAGAGGAGAGGAGAGCCGGTAATCGTCATTCCTCGGAGGGGACATGTGCACAGATCATCAGAGCACTGATGATCAGTGTGCCCTGATGATCTGTGTAGCCTCAGCAGTGCCACCTGTCAGTGTCTATCAGTGCCACCTGTCAGTGCTCATCCATGCCACCTGCCAGTACCCATCAGTGCCACATCAATGCCACATATCAGTGCCCATCTGAGCTGCCTTTCAGTGTCACCCATCAATGCCAGTCAATGCCACCTATCAGTGCTGCCCATCAGTGCCACTTATCAGTGCTAGTCAGTGCTGCCTATCAGTGCCAGTCAGTGCCGCCTATCAGTGCCCGTCAGTGCTGCCTATCAGTGCTGCCTAACAGTGCCAGTCAGTGCCACCTAACAGTGCCAGTTAGTGCTGCCTATCAGTACCACCTATCAGTACCATGTATGAGTGCTGCCTTTCAGTGCCCATCAGTGTGCTGCCTTTCATTGCCCATCAGTGCCGCCTACCAGTACCTCCTCATCAGTGCCCATCAGTGCCACCTATCAGTGTCCATCAGTGCAACCTATCTGTGCCCATCACTACAGCCTCATTAGTGCACATCAGTGAAGGAGGAAAATCACTTATTTACATAATTTTATAACAAAAACTAAGAAAAAAAAAATTTTTTTTTTTCAAAATTTTTTAGTGGTTTTTAGTTTGTTTTAGAAAAAATAAAAATACCACCAAATTAAAGCTCTATCTGTCAAAAACAAATGATAAAAATTTCATATGGGTACAGTGTTGCATGACCGCAACATTGTCATTCAAAGTGCAACAGCACTGAAAGCTGTAAATTGGCCTGGGCAGGAAGGGGTATAAGTGCCCTGTAGGCTAGTGGTTAATGTTAAGTGATCCTAACTTGATTCTGCCCCAGGTCTCTTATAGTTGCTTCCCCCAGCTAGATTTTCTAATAAACTCTCTCTCTATATATTCTGTGACTTTAAATTCTGTTTTCTCAGTGCCTTATTAAAATGTTCTAGGACACTGCTCTTCAGTGTACAATGTGACTGGTGCCATTGTTCAATCACATTTTGACACCTGTCAGGATTTACACAAGTCACTCATGTGTAAATGAACTGTACCCTGCTGTCTCCAGCTTTTAACATTTTTTCTTTTTTTTTTCCACAATTCACTGAGTTAATTTTTCTGGTTTAAGCAGTTAACCTGATATCTATACTTTAGAAACTTTTTTTCTATAACTTTTTGTCTTAACATAGTTTGTGATTGTTTAGCCACTCTTGCATACCAAACGCAATCTTTTACACTTCACTTGCAAATTCAGTCTTTCTTATTTGCTCCTTGTAAATAAATTAAGGATTGAAACTTCGGCATTATGCCGAACCTCAGTGAGCGCCCTTCAAGAAGGAACAGCTCTTCCGTGTCATTCAGCCACACACTCATGATCACAGCCTTGAAAGTTTATCCGTAGCTGGAATAGCTCAGAGGTCTTCTTTAAAAAGCATCTTTTGTGATTATGACATGCAAGGTCTCTGCTCTCTCAATGCTCCTTCATTGCAAGAGCTGAAAAATTACATTTAAGAAGAAAATAGAAACTTGAACATTGTGTTTGTCATAGACTGAAGCAAGCTTTGTCTCCTTACGTTATTGCTGCACTTCTCTTTTAGTGCGATTTCAGGTTCAATTTGAGAATTGAAAACGCATCTAATGAATGTGAATGTCAGTTACATAATTACATAGTTAGTCTGTCTGAAAAAAGACAAAAGTCCATCCAGTTCAACTGTTAAAAAAAAAGTTATAATCGTATACCCACCATTGATCCAGAGGAAGGCAAAAAAAAACAGCAAAGCATGATCCAATTTGCTCCTGCAGGGGAAAAAATTCCTTCCTGATCCCCAGAGAGGCAATCGGATATTCCCTGGATCAACCTTACCTATAAATGTTAGTATCCAGTTATATTCTGTGTATCCAAGAAACAATCCAGGCCTTTTTTGAAGCAATCCACTGAGCTGTCCAGAACCAACTTTGAGGGAGTCTATTCCACATTTTCACAGCTCTCACTGTGAAGAAACCTTTCCGTGTTTGGAGATTAAATCTCTTTTCCTCCAGACGTAAAGAGTGCCCCCTTGCCCTCTGTGATGACCTCAGGGTGAATAACTCTGCAGGGAGAAAGGCTCCAGTTTAGATTGCTTGTGGGCTCCATCTCGTATCTCCTATAGTTGGATGATTGGTGGGATACAGTAGATGATAGTTTCTATCCTCTCAGGCCTTAATTGACAGGTAAGAGGGTTTTTTTTAACCTTTAAATGATTCCTATTAATATTCTCCACCATAACAGCTTAATGTTTACCTATAGTCTAGTTAGTAAATAGGTTTTTCTTTTCTTCTCAGTTATAGTGTTTTTTTTTCTTTTTCTCCTCTAAAATGGTGAGACCAACATCTAGAGTTTGGAAACATTTCCACAGGGAAATTTTAGCTGAGAGCAAAGCTTCAATTTGCAAATATTGCGAGAATATTATTTTCCAGATCCTACAAAGAAGATAAAACACATCCTTGCATACCAGAGGTGCCCTAAAGATATTAACATATACTTTACAGAATTAAATGGTGAGGACCAGAATGAAAATGCAAATAGCTTTTCCCTCCAGAGTTCTCAATCCAGAAACAATCTTTCTGCTGCTTCTGGATCATCACAAATTTTAAAAAGCATGTTTAGTTTATTTACTGTATAAGGTGTAGTTTTCTTTCAAGCATAATACTTTTATATACACTGCATTTCGCATTCCAAGTTGAACAAAATGACTTTCAATTTGTAAAAATACTCAACACTGAATTTTTTTTAATTTTTCCAAAAAATTCATTTTTTCCCTAAAAAAATAACAGGGAACATGGATTCAAAATTTCTGGAAATGTTACATCTCCAAGCTGGACCAATGTAATTATGCAAAAAAAAAATCCATACCTGGAGTTCAGCTTTACATTTGTACAATGCTTATGTCTACTGCAGTTATAAAAGTGAGTAAGATGTAGTTATAGAAAAGCTGCTGAATTTATTCTAGAGTATTGCAGTTATTCAACTTTGTTACCCTGACTTACTCACATGACTTTGTCAGACACTCTTGTCTTAATCTTACCAAGTCAGCTTTTCAGAGCCGCTTACATTGTCTTTTAACTTAGAATTCTGCTGACTTTACACATTTTTAATAAAAGCCAGAGCATCTGCTATAAAATGTGCTACACTGTACAGGAGTGAACGTTGAATTAAAAGCCATATATCTGTCTGGTATGTATGTATGTAGAAAGGTTACAAATCTGCTACAAGTAATGATTTTTAAAAAAATATGATCAAACAATCTCATGGTCATTGCTGAACAGGGAACATTGGTACAACTGTAGGGACCCTACCTAAACTTGGAGTTTTCCCTAGCTAGTTAAAGTGGGAATGTAAAGTCATTGTAAAGGCTAGAAATATTTTAGTTTAAATTGGTTCTAAAGCCTGAAGGTTTTGTACCTTAATGCATTCTCTGCATAAAAAACCTTCAGTGTGCTGCGCCCCCCTTATACTTACCTGAGCCCAAACTCAAGGCTTTGGCTTACACTGCTGTCAATCAAAGCCAGTGGAGGAAGCGGGAGGCAGGGCAGAGCTGTGCTCTGTGTGTCAATGGACACAGAGCAGCTCAGGAACAAGCACGCTTGAGTGTCCCCTTATGGGGCCCCCTGCTGACTCCGGGCCCTCGGGCAGTGCCCGAGTGCTCTAATGGTCAGTCCGCCCCTGCACAGGACAGAAAAGCAGCAGTGGGAGCCATTGGCTCTTGCTGCTGTCAATCAAATCTTATGAGCAGAAAGCAGGGGGGTGGGACTGAACCACATTGTGTACCTCCGCAGGTGTATATCTCCAGGAAGCAGCTTCCCAGGGTGGCAAACCAAGAATAGGATGAGCTGAAAGCACTGGCGAGAGGAGAAGAGGAGATTTAGGGCCACTCTGTGCAAAACCATTGCACAGAGCAGGTGAGTGTAACGTTAGATATTTAAAAAAACATAAAATGTACCATTTGCAACATCTATCAATGTGCATGAACTGCCTTCCTCCATTGGGCCATTTTTAACAAAAAGCGCAATACAGATGTGTCACTGGTGTCTGGCAGCTCCCAAATACCTGGGGTTTCAGTGCAAGTACACAAGTGCCACCAGCTTCTAGTAGATGGGCACCACAGAGCCCAGCAACCGTTGTGTGCATGTGCCACAAAACTGTATCTTAGTAACACACTGTCTTCTGTCATAGCTGTGACGTAGGCACCGTGGCCGAGCCTAGGCTGAAAGCCAGGAAGTATTGCCTTGCAGCACAAAAAAAAATAACACAAAGGCATTTGTGTAAGAGGGAAGGAGGAGGGACAAAATAGGAAAATCTCCATCAGTTAGTTAAGTTCTGCTTTAAAGTGATATAAATGCACACTGCTTAATTTACATTGTTCCTTCTATTTTTGTATGTGGATGATGGCTCTGTAAATATTTTATTAAAAAAAAAGATCTAAGTACCTTTTTCCTAACTAATATACAGCTGTCACATGACCCAGCTCTTTCCCAGCCTGTCTACAGTGAAACTTAAGCAGGAGGAGCTTCTAGCCCTCTTCTACTGGTCACATGTTCAAAAGAATAAAAACAGCCTTTGCAATACAGAGTAAAATTAAAATAAATTTAATTAAGATTGTCATACAAATGTATATTTGAAATCAATATTTAATTATTTTGTGGAAATACAGGCTGTGTCACACCCTTCCAGCCTGTAAGAGGGAGGTGATTCCTCCATTAATCTACATATAATATCCCACCCCCATTGCGTTTAGCTGGTCAATGGGCATGGGGTAGGAGTAGGAGGGAGGGAGGGGGCTGTCATTTACCACTGGGTATACACCCACATGTTTGACTCTATATAGTCACATAGGCTGCTCAGATGTGATAGGAAGGAAACTCTCAGCATAGAAACTCACTGAAAACTGAGCATGTGCAGAGCTGCCAACACTGCTCTGCCAAATCCCTAGCTGTATTGGGGACATGGAAAGAGAGAGCAACAGGATCAACCAGTTTTTTTTTCAGAATACAGAAAACAAATCCCATAATGAGTATGAACAGCATGTACTACAGCATTTATTGATAGCTTTTTATGATGTGGGTTTAGTGACACTTTCAGTTCTGTTTTATTAATGCACATATGATATAGCCAGCCTGAGCTTTATTTACTTTACTATTCTTTTTCTGTAGGTGTTTCCTAATTTCAGGGTGTCACTTTTTTCTGCCTCCTTCTGCTGAGATTCCAGTAATCAGAGTGGGAGGAAACAATAACGGAGTGATAAATATTTATCCTCAG